AAATTCAGCAGCGAAGCGATAAAAGGGTTCAATTCGATTTTAACTATTGGCTAGTTTTTAATGAATATCTCGAAATCTAAGGGAGACAGCAAAATTTTTGTTATGACCCTTTTTACAGCTCTCATATACCTCTCCACAAAAAGCCATTACGAAAATTTCGTTATCTCAGCTCCGGGCTAAGTCGACTTAAACCGTTTTACCGCTTCGCTACTGAATTGTTCCGAAGTTATGAGAAAATGATAAAAATAAAACATGCAGTTGAAAATATAGGAATGACCGATGAATTGAAATCGGTTAAAAATGAAAAAAACAATTAGAATGAAATTGAACTTCCGCAAGGATCACTTGACAATTCATAACCTTCTCCTCCCCCATCTAATATTATCCATCTCAGAATGGATTTTCAAATGAGTTTTTTCAAAACCCCTCATGCATTTCTTGGCTCTAAAAATTCAATTAGACCGCCGGCTCATACCAGGAAATAGGAATCGTTCGAACATCCAGAAAAGGCCAACTCGAGTATCAGGCCGAGGTCGGCCCCTCGCCATTGCCTCTTCAAAGTTCCCAAAGTACCTTGTGCACTCCGTATTCAGGTACTGAAAAATCTCACTTCATGTTTCTTTTTCAACTGTTCAGTAAATCCACAATTTTTTGAAACGCGGTAGCTCAAGGCTCAGTTTCAGTTGTAATGGTGAGTCGACCACCGTGAAACGCAGTCCTTCCTTTTGAGTTGAAAGCGAGAGCTGTGTCAAGGAGACCCGCCGATTCGTGTGTGAGGTATTAAATCAACTGGTTGAGCTAGCTCTAACCGAAACTCTACAAGTCCTGGGTTTAACCGCAGAATTCACTGGGAATGGGCAATGAACTGGATGAACGGTTTGGAGCTTTTAAGCTGTACAAACAGTCATTTGCATCTGCAGGGAGTGTCGCCTGGTTTAGTGGATGAAAATGTTTGGGATTCGGTTAATTACCGTTACTAAAATTAATCGGGTGAGGAAACTGAGCGATTTTTTCCCAAATTAATCGGCAAATTGAGAGGGTCATGAATATTCAGTACAAGACTTTTCTTGTAGAAAATGTGATCGATTAAAAACGTAGTCTCTCAACATTTTTATTGCAATTCAGTGGATATATAATAAGATTTTTAAAAAGTAATCGTAATGATTTTTTTATGTGGTTATAGAATGCATCTTGTTGGGTATAAAAATGCGCTGATGCTACACTGAGAGAAAAACAAATACGTTGTCAAACAAGTCTTGTGTGGGCCAACAAAATCGCTAGTTGAAAATTGCCAAAAAAGAATTTGTTTGTCTTTTTGGAGAGAATGAATTCAGTATACCGAAAAGATATTGATTGCACTTTTCGACATCTGATTAAGAATTCAATCAAAGTCTGACAACATTTTCAGACAATTGCCAACAAATCGAGTGGATAAATACTCCTGTTACAGTGTTTCATGAAATTATGTGACGATTCTGTGAACCAAATGCAACATAAACTGCCTCGACTCTAAATACAGATTAAAACAAAAAATACTGGACATAAATGACTGTGAAAGAAATTTATTTCCATTCAAAAATCTATTTTTCAACCGTTTTTATATAAATATTGAAAGAATGAAGGAATATTGTTCCTTCAAGAAAAAAAATGCAAAGAAAGAATGAAAAAAATACAAAACCAAGTCAAAACTCTTGTAATAATTATAGATTTTTCCATCATTCTAACGAATAAAGAAAAATCACCACACATTAACACGTTGTCCCACGTTTCCATGAAATCCTGTGTCAGGTCGTGAAATCCCCACTCTCTCTCGGACGAAAAGTGCGGTCAACAATAAAGGCACTTCGCCTCAGTGCAAAAAGCCATTCACAAGTATTCCCTCTCATCTCCACCTGTGCGAGTGTTGGAAAAACTGGGGTGAGCCTTTTCAATTTCAGGTGTATACGATACGGAAAGAGGCCATCACCTTTTTTCCGTGCACTTCAATGTCACTGAGTCACTGATATCGATCAACCTTCCGGGTTCGCGCATGTGATTCCAGGAATAAGGTGTTAAATGCGATTGTCGATGAGAGCGCGATATAGGGATTGAGCCTGATGCATCGGAGGCGTTATCGATACGGGTGTATTCAACTCTCGATAATGCGGGGGGGCGTATCTGATATTCCAGAGATAATTCCGGAATTATTTAATTTTTTCAGAATTATTCAGTAGTAATACCCCAAGAGCTTCAAAATTATCGGGTATTTCCCGATAGCTGCGTCGCAAACAAATGAGTGTCAAGTTTTGCAGGTTAAAAAATCCCGAGCGCTTGCGAGAGGGATTTTTCTGCAAAACTTGGCACGATGGTTTGTTTGCAGGGGAGCTTGAGGGAAATACCCGATTAATTTTGAATCTCGAGGGGTATTTGTCGGATTATTTTTCCCAATCGGATTTTGGCCAAGCAGAGTACAGTGGACAACATCTGGGGAAGATTTGAACAAATTATGTTAGTAGAATAACCCGATTTCCATAGACTGTCAAATATAAGATTCTATCTGAAATGAGCCAAAAAAATGAAGAGCTACTGCGAAATATTTAAAAGCTAGGAGGAAATATCCGAAATAAAACTGTCGGGTAGCCTCAAAATACTGCGCTCTGATTGATCGAAATCCCGTTGGGAAAAATAATCAATCATATTTGCCCAATTCGGAAGGAGCAAAATTTCGACGTCAATTTAAATTCATTCATTCTATTTGTTTATTTTAATCCATTTATTTTGCATTGAGGAAATGTATACATTCTTAAAGAAAAATGGGAATTTCATGTGGAGTATTTTATAATTTTCAGAGGAGCAACCTGCAATTTAAGAAGGGAAAAATCATGAAATCATTTCAAATTTCACGGGAAAATTCAACATGAAGAAAATTATTTGGCGAATTTTACCAACTAATTAATTTAAATTTAGAAAAAGATTTTTCAATTCTATTCCACAACCATTTGTTAAATTTTCAATAAACGTTCGTCGATTTGATGGATCAAATTTAACAAGGAATTGTAGATTACTGCGAAAATATAAATGATTGCGCGATTGTTTCCAAATGTTATATGCCCTCACCATCTACCTTGCAGGAAAAATTGACTGAATTTATTGAATTGGAGGTACGGTAGCTTCTGTAATTTTTTCCTCCAGAAAATGAAATGTGCATTCATAAAAAAAATCAACGAACTTTGATCGAATTTAACAAATGGTTGTCGAATGAAATTGAAAAATCTTTTCTGAATTTGAGTTAATTAGTTGTTAAATTTCACCGAATAATTTTCTCCGCCAATGAAATTACAAATTTTTGAGCAGCAAGAAGACGAGAATTGCTTAACTTACTTGATTTACAGTATATTATAATCGAACCAGGATTTATTTACATAGATAGCCCTATTTATTCAACTGAAATGAACCATTTCGGGTAATTTTCCCAACACTCTCCTCTCCGTTTGAAAAATGGAAACTGCTTGGCAGAATTTGACAATTTACTTCCTCCTTATTCAATCACACGTCGGTCCGAGTGCACCCCACACCCCGCGTCTAAAATCAAAGATGGGTCAGAGGCGAAGTGTTTACCCTAGCCAGAGAGCTCAATCTTCAGTCCAGCTACCTCACATCCTAATGGATTAACGATTTTCGTCACTGGACTCGACAGACCCCCCCACAACAGTTCCCTGGCGACCCTCCAAATCTTCGGACAAATCAAATTATTCGAGAGATCTCCAGAGGATCCCTATTTCTTACTGCTGAAGACTCGATGAAATGAGATAGATATCTCGTAAGACGATCCAAATGGAAGAACACACACACATAGAATAATGTCACTAATTTCCTGGAATATTTCATTATTCCCCGGAATGACATTTTCGGCCTTTTTCGACGGAATAACTGTCGAACTCTATTTGTCTCCGAGTGGTCAAGGCTGATTGAATATAACCGAGTCGAATGGAATCGATTAAACAAAGATTAATTCAGCAGCGAAGTGGGAAAACGGTTTAAGTCGATTTTGACTATTGACCAGTTTTTAATGAATATCCCGGAATATTCAAGAAATTAACTAATTCGTCAACAAAGAAATATCCAGAAATTTCATGTGACTTTGGCGTTGTTAGAAATTTTAAACTTTTTCACTCGACATTTCAAGAGTAATTATCTAGCAGTGCACTGTTAACAATTTTGATCTGAATTTTCCATGCCAAATTCCGGAAATTTTTATCGTATTCAAGTTCCACTGAAATTTCAGGAAATCTTGTCATTGAAAACTCAAATATTCCATTGATTTTCTGTTCAAATGATCTCACAATCGATAAAATACTTGATTTTTCAGTTCAATTACTCTGTGAAAATTCAGAAAAATCAGGAAAATCAGGAAAAATCACGGAAAAATTGAAAATTCATGTGAATTATCAATTAAATTTCATGAATTCTACTTAAAACTTGAAATTTCATAACCATTTTTCCCCAAATTCGATTCAATGTCACTCTCACGAGATTTCCCCTGAATCTTCCCCGAAATTTCAAAAAATTCCCAACAGTACCCCATTCTCCCCTCGAATAAAAAAACCCCCAACGACTCCTTGTGTTCCTCATTCTGCTCAAATTCCCCATCAACAAAATCCCGTATGTCCTCCTTTTGCAGCATCATCTGCTCTCGATGTGCTCGATAATGATGAGGCAGTGGTGCAGGTCGTAACAGACGATTCACCGAGTGACGCTGGAACCGTTGAATTCTACTCGCGTCCGAGTGAGACCCAACATCCCTCCACTCTTTCTCCCATGCTCTCAGCCACTCTCTTCTGCTTGTGGCATGGTTTAACCATTTGGTTTTAATATGTTGCGCATGCGCAGGGGCTATGCTTCAGGTATACGGCATAAAACATACATACCCTCCCCCGCCCCCCACCCCGGCGCTGGGGACTTTTGCCCGCGGCGGTCGCTACAGTCCGAAGGAACTTCAGTCTTCAGTATCGCGCCGGACGTTGGTCAGGTGTCTCCGTATTCCCGTTTTTTCACTCGATAAACAAAAGAATGAACTCCAGTGATGAATAACAGCATGAAAAATTAATTGGCTGGAGTAGTTGGGAAGTGATCGCAATTAATTTCGGTATTTTGGAATTTTTTTTCAACTTTTTGGTGAAGTGGAGAGCTTTTCCGGTCTTCGACGCTCTGGTCTCCGGTTTGGAATTCACCTGAACAGGTTAAGAGGTGAACAGGTAGCGGGACACGCGTCGCCATGGGTTACGAGTGTTGTGGGGCTGTTGATGTGTAGTGGAATTTTTTTACTACTGCGTTTTTGGGGTTTCCGGTGGGAGGCTGATGGATACCGGATTATGAACTGGAGGCTGGCGAGGATCCACTCGTGGTGAGATTTTTTATTCGGTTGGGGGAGCTTTCAGTGGAGGTTTATTTAATTGTTGCGTGATTGGGCACGTGTGAAAAAATTGTAGAGATATTTTCCGGACGAATTGTTTCTATACATGAATTTTTACGTAAATTTTTGTTTTCATACGAGAGATGTGGAAACGCTCCAGAGAAAAACGTAGAGAAATGTCGCAACTCCATGCGAAGTTCTTCTATACATGTGGCGGGGGGTCGTATAGGATGAAACCTATAGAAATCGTATAGAAATAATTTGTATAAAAAATATCCGTATAGAAAATTTCTGTACGATTTTTCCATATGAGGTCTTCTGTAGAAGAGGAATGTGGAATTTCGTAGAAGAGGGCTTTAGATTTGTTTATGTAGCAACAGTTATTGCTGTCAATTTAATAATTAATTGTGAAGGAATAAAACAATGCGTGTTAATCATTTGACAATATTAGGAAAAGTAGGATTTATAAAAAAATAGGCGGGGATTCAATATCAATGAATGAGGATTAAGGGGAGACTACTAGGAGTTTTAAAATTCGTGGGCTGATGGATTGAAATTTATCGTGCGTTGGAGATTGAGTATATATGTCTAAAAACGAATAATAAGTGCAAAAAAATTAATTGTTTATTGTTCGTTCGCCCCGCAGACGCCTGAAGTGTTAAAAATCGTCTAGGGCCTCAAATTTTTGAACTACAGAGGTTTCTTTGTTTCAATTTTTTTGAAAAAATGTCTACAATAACAATTACGATTTTTTTTTTTGAAATTCGAATCCTACACAGCTAATTTCTTGTTTTTATATAAAAAATTGAACCAGTCATGTAAAATAACCAGAAACATGATCCTCAAAGTATTTAAAAACTTTCCTCGATTCTTTCAGAAATATTTTTCTCACTATTTATCATGAATGGTGTAATTTTTTATATTAAAAAAAATGATATTAAAAATATCTAGCTCGTAATTGGTATTGTACACAATTTTTCGAAAATTTTGAAAAAAAAACCGCTGTAGCTCAAAAATTGGAGGCCCTAGACTATTTTAAACATTTTGAGTTTAACATATTGACGTCTTAATAATTTTCCTGTTTTCAATTAATTTTCGAAAGACGAGTTCTTTCCATATTTTTATGCAGCATCATTTGTTACCGAAGTAGTTCAACAATATCCCTGAAATTGATAGGTTCATTGGGAAATGATAGATGTTTTTTGTAGTCCACGCACCTCCCATATTCCCAAAACAATTTCAAAATCCAATTCAGACTCTTGTCCCATCGCCACTGATAAAATTTTCCCCCGAACTGAATATTTCATCGTGAAAAGACGATGCCCAGATAGAAAGATAGATTGAATGTCAAATACAACGAGATTAATCGAGGATAGGGCAGGCCTGACTGATGGAATTCGATTATAAAATCTTCATGAAGGGGAACACGTACGACTTGCACTCGTCCCCTCCGGGTTTTATTAATTTACCGGGATTTATACATTGGTGATATGATTCCTCGTGATTCCCCTCATTCAATTGTCCTACATACTATATTGAATTCTCTCTCCGTAATTTCATTCACTCCGGACGAATTCATAATACTTTGTTAGAAAATTACTCGCGAAGCTTCAAGTTAAACATCCTGAAATTTTTAGCAGACTCATTTAGATGAAATTTTTATATACTTTCTTACTGAGAAACAGGGATACGTAATAATATTAAATTTTATTAGCTAAATTTTTCGATTGATGGTGAATAAAATATTTGATAATACTGGAATGTAATTTTTTAGTTAACAAGCTAATTCTAAATTTAGGTACTTGATTTTCGATTATCCAAATAATCGTCGATCTTCCTACCTAAATTATTGATTGATGGAATATTTCGAAATTTTAATGTATAAATTGATGGCTCCTTTAATATTAAAAATTTTAAGATTTATGTTAAAAATTAAAAATTAAAAACAACTTCACAATTTAACGGTAATTATGATTGATTGATATGCCTATCACTGCTGAGAAATGAAAATAAAAATGAAATTGTACCTTTCAGGTCCACATGACAATGGAAATTACTGAAATTGTTTGAAATTCAGGAAAACATCTCTCTGAATTTTCTATTAATCGAAAATTTAATTCAATGTGGTGGTCAATGTTCGCAATGGGTTTGACAATTTTATACTCAATTTTCTTGAATTTCACAAATGAATAACAGAGTACATGAACTATTTGATTTTAGACTGAATTCAAATTCATGTCATTGGAAAACGAATTCAAACAGTGTTTGATTTTAACGAAAATGTCACTGAATTCTTGGATTATACGATCAATTATTGATGATATTAGATACTGACTAGAATGATCTAGATTATCAGTAATTTTTTTCGCTGATAATTGGTGACAAAATCACAGAATTTCAGAGTTCTGTTCAGCATAAATTTCTGAAAATCAAAATTTGGTTTCTCTGTATACATTTTTCTCAAAGCAAGAATAAAATATTCCGGATTGAAGTATTCCCGACAAAATTTTATTCCTAAAAATATTTTACTGCTGAATTTGCAAAACTTATCCTTTATTCAAGAGCTTTTTCCTGCGAATAAAAAAGTGGAAACCCTCTAATTTCGTTTTTTAAAAACAAACTGCGCGTTTAAATGCAGCCTCGGATTTAATTACCACTCTCTTTATCCCCATTCTGATGCACACAACTGCACAGAGTCTACGGACCACATATAACGCTGATGGAACTCGAAAATTACGTATACATGGTAATAAAGTTTGAGGAAATTGAAAATTCCGAGCGCAAGGGAAAGTTTCCGGTATATCCCAGTGTTATAAGCAAATGGAGTTTTGATTCGACGTGGCGTACTCGCTGACCGCGTTAATTCCAACTTCAACGAGTAAACAAAGAAGACCATTGAAGGAGATGCATGACCGACACAATTTATTATTTAGTTATTATTTGTTTGTTCCTTATCAGGAGATAAACTCTGGGCTGAAATTTTTTGCAGAACTCTGGAATTTTTTATAAACAAAAAAATAGAAAAACTGCTGCATAGTTGAGTCTGTTCTCTAGTCTAGTTATAGACACTAATCTGAACCGTTCCACAGTTACACTATTAAAAATATTTCTAGTAAAGTTTTTAGAAATTTTCATCGTGTTGCACTGGAATTTTAAGAAATTTCAGTGCAATTTCAATTATTGCATTAAAATCTATGAAAATTTGGCAAATTCAGATGCATCCATTCTGGAATATTCAATTAATTCGAATTTCAAGGAATTTCAGGATTAAAGATTGACAATTTGATGAATAAATCAATGAAAACTGTTATTTTCAATTCAATTATTGAATTAAAATCTACAAAAATTAGGAAAATTCAGATGAAACTATTCTGGCATATCCAATTAATTTGAATTTCAAGGAATTTCAAGATTAAAAATGGACCACTTGATGAATAAATAACTGAAAATTGGAATTTGCAGTTCAATAATTCCACAAAAATGAATAAAAATGCAAATTCACCTAAACCTATTCTTGAATGTTCAATTAATTTTCATTCCCTTGAATTTCCACTGAAATTTCAATTTTCCCTCAACAGGGTAAAAAAACAGTAATAATAACTGCAAATAAGTCCAGAATTTAATGACTCCATCAAGTATTTTGAGTAACTCCTTGTGACCCTCGCGTAATTCCTGAACTCCATTGTTCCTCCAGGTCACAGTTTTACCACTGAGAATAATGGAAATGTGAGAGAAACGTCAAACGCTGGAATAAAGGAGGTTTAGAGCCACTCGAGAGGTATTAAAGTGATTCCCGAGATGAACGTCGCGGGTAGAAATTGCGCGGTTTTAAAAGACATTGGAAAGTTTTCCGAGAGAAGAAACACACGGGCCTCACCGCTGACTCATACACCGGTCGTGGCTCCAACGAACCGAGTAGAAGGCAGTTACTCCTTGAAGACAGGATGGTGGAAACGAACAAAAAGAGGGAGCGGGGGGGGACATAACAAAGGGCGTTTTCAACATAAAGAAGAAACAAAAAAGGAAAAGGGCGGTGAGGGACACGGGGTCGCCGGAAGTGACGATAATTCGAGGGAGTTTGCACTAGTGCCGGGGAAAGTGCGAACTGACAGGTTCTCACCTTAAATATCCCACTGCAAAATCATCACTAGGAACGTTAAAATGGTTTATGACAGATGAAAAAATACCGGTGCGTTTTACTCCATTTTTATGACATTCCTCCGCTGGTGTACGACAGTAAAATCGGAGATGGCGATTCTCTTGGCTGTAAAACGTTTGATGCAAATCGAAAAATAACACGGGATGAGTTTTCCGGAATTGCTAAGAAAACGCAGTCATTTTTTTATGAGAAAACCAAATTCAATGAACGAATTTGCGTATCATTTTAATTCTTCTTTTGTGGGAATATTTTTGAAGCGAAGGGAATCAGATTGAATTCACCGGAACGTTTTCCCTTGTGGACGATTTCATGAACTGGAAAGAACATCTGCCTTTTTCTCTTAAAGTATTGGGTCTAGACATGTGCTTTCGAAATAATCTTCACGTGAATTATCTGAGAGTATTCTGTTTACTTCGAAGAAGCTTGTTGGAACATTTCTTCCTAAATCCTAGGAGTGTCAACGAAGTCAGCAAATGGTCTCCATGTGAATTTTCGATACATCAATTAGTAATCGGTCAATTATCTCGGTAATGAGTGGTATAAAGGAGAATCGTTAAAGCATTTTTTTTCAGAGAGAATTTTATTCCCTAAATAAAAGTTTTATGATGTAGGTCTGAACGTACTCGCTCTCGGGATTTTTGATGAGTTCTCTTCAAAGGGTTTTTTCACGCATTAATTATTAATTGTTTAATTACCTCGGTTATGAGCGAAGCTAGAGAGAAAATGCCACGAGATGTTTCTTGCAGATAATTTAATCCCCCGAGGTACCGGTGGAACAAGGAGTATGAAATTTTCTTATTCCTTCCTAGAATCATTCCCAACTGTTCGAATG